ATCCGATAATACACTTTATTATTGCATCTACCACGATGAATAACAACAACCTTTTACTTTAACAGTGTTCAGCGATGTTGTTTTAAGCTAAGTAGATTATTCCGAATTGATGCATTGACCTACTGTACATTGTGCAATGAGCAGTCTTTGATCTTACACTGTGTTACACTGTGTTACAAAAGGGTTAATTATTAACTATTACTGCACAATATATTAGAGCCTGTTTATAGCGGACACCCTGTAATAAGCGGACACTAATGAGTGTCTAAGGGTGTCCGCTTAATACAGGTTTCACTTTAAACATCCTGTTTATCACTCCTCTGGATCTCTCTGAAAAAGTGCTATTTTTTGACCACAAACCAACACCAGTCACTTGATTCCGTCTGTTCAAAAACCAAACTACCGAATACCCACCAAACTACCTAAAAGCGAATGCAAATTGTCAAAATTTACAACGGTACAAGTTCGCCTCATGGGTCAAGGATTCTCAACTACCAAAAATTACGGATTGAAAACTACCAATCACAGCCCACTATCATGACCGTTTGAACTGCACGTGAAACAAAACACTGAGCAGCATCGCTTGTGATTGGCTCATTTTTTCTTACTATCAGACGCGCTGTATAGCTGTGTCTGATCCTGTCTCCTCGATTCAACATCGCTTTTCCGTAAAATATCTTTCATATCTATTCTTTGCTGATACATAAGCTGAAATAGAAAAAGGAAAGTTTCAGTATTTGAAAACGGTGAAATTAAAGACCTGTCGTGGAAGAAAAAGCCAGCTCGTTGTTTCGTGTCAAGTCGTGACCAATCCATGCTGCGGTTTTGCGGTTGTCTTTTGCTGTTTCATCTCGCATCTGATTGGTCGCGCTGCAATAAACATGCCAGAAATTTTCTCTAGTGTTCACGGTTTTACGGGAAAGACTGTAATTGCTTATACTCTCTATGGAAAGAGCCTGCCGGGAATCATGGTAGTTGTATTCATCATCTTGGACTAGATGTTTTGTTGCATAAGGCCAGTGTGCCTGAAATTTGACTTCACCAATCAGGATTCAGCAGGCGGGAAATACCGTACTGTCACTGACGTCAATGTATGTTAACAGGAAAGGCATCGAAAACAGGCAACGTTTCTCACTGGAGACGGCATTAAATATTCACGAAAAGTAATTTATAATTCCAAAAGCCTTATCTAAATGTAAAAAGGGAAGTACATGAAATATGTTGTGTCTCAAAGCTTTTGAATTTGGCGCTAAAACCGCGTCACCCGTGTCCAGCAACTCGTTCCTCGCTCTCCGAGTGTCGCCTGGTAGAATCATAGCTGTGTTATTTTGACAAAATATGCTGTTCCTCGTCAAATTAAAGCTAGGCTTCTCGAGATACATGTAAGTCTTAAAAGAATTCAAAGAAGCTTTAGCAATGTCTCTTTTTTTGTCAGCTGTGAAGAAAAGACTACTATCGTGTCGTTTCGGTAGAACAGCTCGGTTTTGACTACAGCTCGTACTGCGGCCTCAGGCACCGTATACGAGGTTGTTTTGATGAATACAACTACCATGACTCCCTGCAGGCGTATCTCATAGAGGGAATTTAACTCAGGGGGCGGTAAGATGAGAGACCCTGGGAACAAGGCTGTCAAGAATCAAGCCAATCAGATCATGCATCTCTCGAGCGGCACCTTTTCCTCGTGTCAAGGCCTCGTCGTTTTTTGACGTCCTTGTTTAAGTTTATTTAAACAGTCGACTATCAGACTACCAATGCAGACTATCAGGAACAGCTGCCAAATGTAATGTTAACCTTCGTGAACTCTTCGCGTTCACGCTTAGCATATTGTTAGAATATTCCCTGGTAGGATATCATTGATTTATTATTTGATCTCTCGCGTTTGTTTGATAAGAATCAAGGGCATAGAAACGCCGATCAGCCGAAATCTCGATAGTGTTCGACTTTAATTTTACTTAGAGTGAGTTTAAAACAGGTATATCCGGTAAATATGTTTTATTGGAAGCCCTGAAGTCCTTTCAATTTGTCCTTAATGTAAGCCTGAACGCAATTCATACCTTCCCAACCGAAAAATGTGGTTGCTGATAAGAATAATCTTGTAACTTCGAACTTTATTAGCTTTTATTGTGTCCTCGAGTTAATGAAAAGTGACTGACACAATCAAAAACCAATATCTCTTTGAACAACATTTACATGAGAAGAAATAGCTGTTAAAGATACAACTCCTTGCACGTCTTTTAAAAAAGACGACTGACTCAGTGGTATGACTTCTACAGCCTAACGCTAGCAGATATGGCTCATTTAGAAATCGCTACAGAGTAATTTGGAGCTATTGACGTTTCATTTATATGCTAGTTATTTCCTTTGTGGTTTGTCACATGCTGGTGTTAAACCACCGTTTATTTACCAAAACCCTAATTACTTCAGTAATCAAGGGCGTTACGGTGATTTACATACTCGCTCAGCTTAAATTCGAAACTTCCGAGGCGGATTTTCTTCGAGCGGTGGAAGCTACGAAGTTGAGTTTTTTAATCTGTGAAGGACAAAGTAAATTAGGCATGGGTAAATTAATCTAAATTCACTCTGAATGATGACTCCTGGCCAGTTTCCTTCAGCACGTGCTTGGCGGCTTTCAGTTTAAAGAACTGAAGACTAAAATTGTTAAAGCCTAATTCTACTTGAACTGTCTTGACAAATAAACCCCCGTTTTATTCAATTATTGATTTCTTGACAGCACTATAATAAACTGAAGCCTATTATATTCAGGAACCTTCAGGATTTCCATGATAATGGGTTCGTTGAAGCGAATTAGACAGTTGTAAATCATTTGCGTCTCTCTATGCACTTGACAAGAAGAGATAAATTTCGAACGGTGAGCACGATGAAATTGATCTGGTACCCTTTTTGCTAGCCATATCTCAGAGCACTGCAATGGCACAGCGCCAAAGGAGAACAAGCGGTGTGGCAGACTTGTTCAAACAAGCGATCGAGGCCAACGACCTGGCTCAGCTCAAATTTGCTTTAAAGTATCACAAAGCGAGAATAAATGAACAGGACAACAAAGGAATCACAGTCTTGCATCGAAGCTGCCTCTGTGGACAACTGGAAGCCGCAAGGTTGCTGGTGGAGAATGGTGCCGATCTAGAGTTGCGGGATGATCAAGGATGGAGCTGCTTGCATTACGCCGCATATGGTGGTGACGTCGACGTCGTCAACCTTCTAATCCACTCTTGCGTGGATGTCACAGCGACATCGTACGAAGGAAAACTCGCAATTGACGTGGCCAAAGGAGAAGGGATCGTCTTTATCTTGGCCTCGGCGATTCTAAGAGCTGGAAAAGAGCATTTACTACTCCGCTACATGGATGAATCGACGTCAAGTTTGGAAAGTTTGCAGTCCATCGCCGAGGAATGCCAGAGGATGACTCCAATAAAGGGAGCCATGTCGGAGGAAATTTTGCGGGCAAGTCAGCAGTTTTTGGCACAGAGCTTTAGTGCTTATTTGGATGAGAAGTTCAATTTGAACGAAAGCGATGGAGAGAAGTCAGAATTAGCCGAGGGTGCACCTGAGGAACCGGCCAAACTATTAAAGCTAACAAGGAAAAATTCATGCCCTGTAAAAAAAGACCCTAAAGAACTGGCACCTTGCAAAAGGGCTCGCTTAAATTCTTTTAATTCGGCGTTCTCTAACAATGTCTTACAACGCTATGCAGTTAGTGAGACCAATCTGTCAGATGAGCATGCTGATGGGAATCAGGAAGAGATAAGGGCTGAAATCAACAGAGCTCCGAACTTTTCTGATCTCAACAATGTGAACTCAGAAACGTGGATTTATTCGCGGTGAGATTACTAGAAAGACCTCAGCAGGCACACGGACAATTGGCGGCAGTTTAGGTCTAATCTCACGGCCTGTGAGCACAGAGAACAGCTATCCCCAGCATGAATGCCCAGTACAAGTGTTTTATAACTCAAATACCGTCTTGATAACAAGATCATGGCGCTCAAAGCAAGCCGCTAAATCTTTTTTCGGACAACAAGGTTTTTCTTTGTCAGGTCTTTGTAAATAATATCAAGCTGGAAGTTTAAAATATTTCATTCATATGATTTGACGAAGGACAGATTTGTTCTAATTTGTTAATCGATAAGTAATCCAGTCGTTGAATTTCCATATATTAGAGACTAATGACATTTTGGTTTATGACTTTCTTTTGGTCAATGATAAAATTTCGGCCGACCTGGGTTTCATTCTTAATCGTTCCACATTTAAGACATCTATAGCCAGATATTTTAGTAATTGATCTTAATAAGAACCAGAGGGTAAAAATTATCCGACCGTTTCGCTACAGACCTTTACTTGATTGCCTGCATATAGTCACTCTAAAGGAAGATGCAGGACTGCTTGAAAGGGAACTTAGAATTTTTATCTTTTCTTACTGTCCTTGCAAGTTGCACCAGTACCTTTTAGTTTTGACAACAATGTGCATTGCATTATTACTCGACAAAGATACGAGAGTAAACTGAAGGAACACTAGCTAAAGGCAGGCCGGAAACACGAGCTGGAGTTGTCTATTTTCAGACATGAAGTAACTGTACTAATAGCTCTTAAAACAGGAGTACAGTCTTGGTTTGAACATATGCTAAACCAAAGAACTATGGTGATCAATTATTTCGGGAACATTGATTAGTGAAGTCGGTTGACTTTGAAAGTGATACAACATCAGTCAAGAGTGCCCATTCTCCTTTAACCCTCAGAACCCTCAAGTGACTTACTCATGATATGATGAGGTTATGGAGACACATGGGCGATCAAAACATTCGTGATTTTGCTTGAAGCACTGTTTTAGTTATTTTGCTGGAGAAACGAGTAAAAAGCGAGCTTAATAAATACGATAAATTTTAGCAAACTGTTTGACCACAGGCGGTGAGTTTGACAAATGAGACCTTTGATATCTACAGCCAATTCAGGTTCATCTCATGTAACTTTGCGTAGGAAAAGAGAGCCTAACAAGGAACCCAAACACTCGTAGTTGCAGATGGCAGTTCAGCTGCTGTTTTTTTTTTTTTTTTTTTAACCACGCATGTGCGAGCGTGATCGCAGTTTGCTGTTTTGTTCGTTCGCATACAGTATGTATCTACTGATAAACTGAAAACCAAAATTACCCTCAAAACAATTTGTTCCCATCAAAACTCTTCAGTCTCAATTTAGTAGCAACCCTGCTGCCTTGCCTGATCTGCGCTAATAATGAGCAGTCGATTAGCCATAAACACTGGTGTAGTGCTTATTTTCTCCTCCAGCACCTTCAGAAAATACACCACCGCTTTTAGTAGTTTGTTGTTTGAATCAGTCAGACGTGCAAACTTGACTGTATTCACCACACCTCAATGAAACTGTTGCATGGACATCCGCTTTTAAATACGTAAGGTTTTCGAACCACGCAAACATTTAACCGTAGCATTTTCTCTACATGATTTAATAATGGACAATTTCTTTGTCCTATGTTGTGAACGCTTTGAACATCTCATTCAGAGAACTTAATTTAGATGTAGGCTGTAGTGTATGATTGAACGAATTATAATTATGTGACACCGAGGCAAACCCTGCGTTACGTTTCTCAATATTTGCCATGGTTGTCATGTGAGCAAATTAACAGCAATTAACACGTCAAGGTGAAGAAGCAGTTAAAAATGGAAATGCCTGTAAGATTAGCAGTATTTCAGTTCTATAAAGCATTGCTGTGAGAGAAAATAATTAACGTCATAAAAGCTTGAACATCAAGCTGTTGTTAACGTTTGGAGATCCATGATAAACTGTGCACGTCTATTGAGAGTGTGTCTAGCCTGATGTCGACTATTTAACTTTCATTGTCAAAATGTCTATTCTCTTTGTGGACGCATCATTTTGTAAATTTGGCTGGCAGTATCAGACGTTAATAAGCCTTGACCCCAAGCAGATAATTTTTCCTCGTAAGCTACAACACCGACTCTGGGACTACAAACCGTAGCGAAATCAGTGAAGCTGACCGTAGCAAATGGGAGCAAGTATGACAAGTTATGTACCAAAGATGAGCACGAATTATATGTCATTTGTCTGGGTTCAGTTACACTTTACAACATAATTAAAAGATCGCTAGTGACTTCTAGGATTTATTCTAGATGTAATTGAATAACATGGGATTGGAGATACCTTTTAGGATAACTCTTTTCCGGCTCCAGAACATTCCACTGCGCTAATCTAACAATAACTTTCTTTTTTGTTTTGAAGCAAATGAAGCACAATATCTAATGGTGGTCAGGTCGGCCTATATTTAGGAATCCTTGTCTGCTTTCTTTGTTCCCTGGTCTAAAAAAGTCGACAGAACTTTAAATCCATGCCTAAATCCTATGTGCAGTCATGCAGTTGGACTTAAACTGCTCCAGAATATTCTAAGCTAAGAGAATTAAATGTAATCTTAACTTCCTTTTAAGCAAATGTCTAAAAAATACCTAGGTGAACCTATTTTTAGCGGTAGTGGTATTCTTTTCTTTGTTCCTTGGCCAAGTAATTGCAAGTCAACGAAGGATTAATTCCATGTTTTAATCGTAAGTGCACAGTCATATAAATTTTAACCAATTTTTTTTAAAGTTTTTCTATCGTTCGAAGGGATTACTGAGAAGCTTCTTGATTTAATCGACTTAGTTATTGATGCTAGACTGCCTTTGTTTTAAACACTGGAAGGAATTCAGATCATGCAATGCCAAATCAACGTGAATGATCGTTTAGCTAAACTTATATATAATGTTGTATTTCGGCGTTGTATTGCATGGCATGGTGTATCAAATTATGCCATTATGATGATATCACATACTGTTCGCTCCGATCACGGCGACGAATAAATTAAAACAAATTGCACTGTGGAAACCCACTGTGTTAAATAAGAAATGCACTATTGGAATAGACAGCGTTTAGTCCTGCCAATTTGGGAAATTACATGTGAATTCCAATTTTTCGATCGAATTGAAAATCGAAATGACTTTCGGTTTGAGTTATCGGGAGATAACAAAAATCGAGGGTTTAAGAAATCGGAATGCCACTGCATTGCATGAAAAAGCTAGCTTCTAAGGATTGCACCGATTACAGTTAATTAGGACGATGCACTCAGAGAGCGAGCCCAATTTGATATTCACAAGCACTTTTTGCTTCCCATATTAACATCACAGGTGGAGGTTTCTGCAGTACATCTAATGCTACAGGATAGTAAGCCTTCGAAGCCAGCTTTCTAGCTTTCTCGGCCCACTCCTCCAGCTGCCAAAGTGCAAGAAACTCTCTCTTAGGGTCTAGGGTGCGCTTGCTGGGTGCCCGGGGGATCTGATAGTACCTAAAATATCCTTTGGAATTAGGCGAGGTCGTACAGATTTAGGAACTAGGAACAAACATTTCCAGGAAGTTATCTGCGCGCAAAAGGCGCTAACCGGGTTATCATTCAAACAAGTCATCCAACGAATTTTAGCGTGTACCTAGAAGAACAGAGTACGCTAGGAACCAGATTATTAAGTAATTTTGCACACTCTACTTTACCGCTACCACACTCTATTCATTCCCTGTTTAGTTTTTATTTTATGCAATGACGCCTTTGGTTCAAGATTTTCAAGTGTTTGCTTACTCAGTAAACAAAATCAAATTTTTTCCCCTACGCTGAATTATTCCAATGTAATGCAACGAGTACTCGGCCTTGGATTTTCGTGCATGCACAAGAGAATGATGAAAAAAGAAACGATGGAAAAGACAGATATTTGTACGTTGAATCTCCAATGTTCTCTCCAGAACTAATGATTGAGTGCGCGAAGAAGAAACGTTTGTTTGTAGACTTCATTTCTGAAGCCTCACCGTCTTGTTAGCAGCTATTATATTGCATTTTTTGTGATTGTTATCTCTTTTTGTTTCGACGTATTTTTTGTCATGTATGTTTGCGGGCGTACTTGTAACACCCGCCACTGAAAAAACTGTTATCAAAACTGTTGCGTGCGATGTCACCTTCGTTTTAAACTTTCATTTTTACATTCCTTATTGTCGCTGAAGTAAATACCCAAAGGCTGTTTATGCAAAATTGCAGCTGAGTCAACCTGTACTTCACGAGCTTGCCACTTCTTTTCACAACAGCTAATTTAGGCATTACTTCGACCTGTCGGTTAGCCAAACTGCATCTAACTAACTCCAAGGCAAGGCAAGCAAATATTGGGCTTAAAACTGAACAAAAGCCCCAAAATGTTTGTCGTTATGTCGCTCCGTGTTCTTTTGTGTTTCCTTCTGTGTCATCCGTCTGTCCACGGCAAACCTTTCCAGGAAGATAACGAGGTATGTAGAACGATGCCTGCCCGTGCTTGATTTCTTCCTATCCACAAATAACAGCAAATGACTTAGTTTGTGATTTCGTCGAGAATCGGCAGGCAAGCTTAAGTGAAAACTAGAGCTTCAAGTCCGTAAATTTAATAACAGAGCACTGACGACCATCGGGAGAGGGGATTTTAAGAAAGAAAAGAAAAAGACAAGAGTTGGAATGTAACAAAGGCGGCGGCGTGAAACAGTTTTGGCTTGAGAACACGACGACTTTATAACGAGAGGAGTTGATGGTGCTGACGATTGATAGAAAACCTTTTAATTAGTTTTAAGCATCTTTCAGGGAAACTTTCTTTTTGGTTATTTTCTTTTTGTGATAGGAACTTCTCGTTCACTTAGATATTTATCAACTTTTATTTCTCGTAAGTTTGTAAACATAATGCACAGGTTAACCACAAATATGAGTCCATTCAAGAATGACTAGTCGGTTACTATGGACTGTAGTAATTCCGAGGTATAGGATTTTAACATAATATTCTACAACTTATAATATCTCCCTCAATAAGTTCAAACTCCGATTTGTTACTTCTAGGATTTATTGATAAGAGAACCAAGAGCACCTAAAGAGAAGAAAGCGGGTATGATTTCTAAATAGTTTGTTTAAAGAAGCGTTTGCTTTAATAACTTTGAATAAATAATAATTATGCCGAGACAGCTATTTAAATAGCAATCTGTACTTGTTCATTTCATATGCACAGCTGAAGTGTTACTTTTACCTTCTTCCATTTGTAACATAAATAGAACTGCGTTAATTTTGTTTAACAAATAATCGAAGTCAAAGCCTTGTATTGCACACAATCATCAAACATGACGGCTTGTGTAAACTCAAGCGCTAAACTTCAGCGTGAGTTTTTATGAATCTCAAGTGTTCTCAAACAATCGGAGTGGTTTTTGACAGTGTCATAAATGTATTTGGTTTGTTCATATGCACCCAAAAAATATAAAAGTGGGCGTAGCAATAAACTAAAATAAATTTATATGGCGACCGATAACAATGAACTTTTGTTTGTGTTTTTTGTATGCTTAATATCGCGGGGGTATTTTACAGTTTAGCTCAATGTGTTCCCAGGCCCCACTTCGTATTTTCCAGTTATTGCAGCATGCATGAGGAAAAGTTCATATCTTAGGAAATTCCAGCAAGTAAAAATACAGTTTTAAATTGGGACTGGTGTTTGTGTATATGTTCAAGATGGACAATAAGAAACAAATTGTTCTCCCCCGTTGATGAGTGACACTTAAAATTAATATCAAAATTCAAACGAAATTAAAAATAGATAACATAAAAAGAAGAAAAATATATAAAAAGTGTCATTTNCAAGCTTAAGTGAAAACTAGAGCTTCAAGTCCGTAAATTTAATAACAGAGCACTGACGACCATCGGGAGAAGGGATTTTAAGAAAGAAGAGAAAAAGACAAGAGTTGGAATGTAACAAAGGCGGCGGCGTGAAACAGTTTTGGCTGGAGAACACGACGACCTTAAAACGAGAGGAGTTGATGGTGCTGACGATTGATAGAAAACCTTTTAATTAGTTTTAAGCATCTTTCAGAGAAACTTTCTTTTTGGTTGTTTTCTTTTTGTGATAGGAACTTCTCGTTCGCTTAGATATTTATCAACCTTTATTTCTCATAAGTTTGTAAACATAACGCACAGGTTAACCACAAATATGAATCCATTCAAGAATGACTAGTCGGTTACTATGGACTGTAGTAATTCCGAGGTATCAGATTTTAACATAATATTCTACAACTTATAATATCTCCCTCAATAAGTTCTAACTCCGATTTGTTACTTCTAGGATTTATTGATAAGAGAACCAAGAGCACCTAAAGAGAAGAAAGCGGGTATGATTTCTAAATAGTTTGTTTAAAGAAGCGTTTGCTTTAATAACTTTGAATAAATAATAATTATGCCGAGACAGCTATTTAAATAGCAATCTGTACTTGTTCATTTCATATGCACAGCTGAAGTGTTACTTTTACCTTCTTCCATTTGTAACATAAATAGAACTGCGTTAATTTTGTTTAACAAATAATCGAAGTCAAAGCCTTGTATTGCACACAATCATCAAACATGACGGCTTGTGTAAACTCAAGCGCTAAACTTCAGCGTGAGTTTTTATGAATCTCAAGTGTTCTCAAACAATCGGAGTGGTTTTTGACAGTGTCATAAATGTATTTGGTTTGTTCATATGCACCCAAAAAATATAAAAGTGGGCGTAGCAATAAACTAAAATAAATTTATATGGCGACCGATAACAATGAACTTTTGTTTGTGTTTTTTGTATGCTTAATATCGCGGGGGTATTTTACAGTTTAGCTCAATGTGTTCCCAGGCCCCACTTCGTATTTTCCAGTTATTGCAGCATGCATGAGGAAAAGTTCATATCTTAGGAAATTCCAGCAAGTAAAAATACAGTTTTAAATTGGGACTGGTGTTTGTGTATATGTTCAAGATGGACAATAAGAAACAAATTGTTCTCCCCCGTTGATGAGTGACACTTAAAATTAATATCAAAATTCAAACGAAATTAAAAATAGATAACATAAAAAGAAGAAAAATATATAAAAAGTGTCATTTGTGATATTATGTACGGGTAACAAGTTAGTAACAAGACCTGACCGCAAGACCGCAAGACAAGAAACTCACAGCAACTTATATTAACATTCCTTTATGTAAAACTGCTGATGGTCAGAGGACATTTCAATAAAGGATTGTAAACTTATGAAATTCATTAGATAAAGATTTTAAATTGTGCAAAGGTTTAGTAAACTTTAAAAAGAATCTTAAAACAAAGATGCTTAACGCGTTTTGAAACAAGACTAGTGTTTACACTTTTTAATTCATTGTAATTTTATTGCATTTTTTATTGTATTTATATTGTATTGTTCACGGAAAAACCTATATTTGGGAGTGTGCAATAAAGTTTCAAGGTTCAAGGTTCAAGTAAATCAGCTACCCAAAATGGTCATAAAAATGAATTATTAATTGTGTCCTGTTATCTCTCTCCATTTCTTTTGATGCTGTACTTGACTAGACTGCGGCACTACACTGACTGGGTCAAATGGTACGGTGACGTCACCCAATTATCCAAGACCTTATCCTACTGACGTGACATGTGTGTGGGTGATATCAGTGAAGCCGTCACAAGTTATTGAGCTGGAGATTAACTCTCTTGACATCGAACAAAGCAGCAAATGTAAATATGACAGTCTGGAAATTTTAGATGGATCAACGGTAATTTTTGTTGTACACTAATAAATACGCCATATTTCACCTACTGAAACAAAACCTGTATGTCAACGACATTGAATAACCGAAAGACACTAAGCATTAGCTCACTTATTGGCTCATCCAGAAATTGTAAGCCTTAATTTTATACTAAGTAAGTTCACGAAAACTTTCAAGGGAATACAGTGTAAACCTTCGGAAGCAGCCTTCATAGCCTATTTTCAAGGTGCACTAAGCCTCTCTTTCAAAGCGAGGTCTGGTGCACTACCATTCATATGAAAATGAGTTTAATTTGCATATCAATGAAATCTCATTTCATATTAAAGGTGGGCAGCAAACCTCGCTTTGAGAAAAAGACTTAGGTAATTCGGAAATAGCCTATTAAACAGTTTAATTTTGTGTACTGTAGCCAGAATATTGAATTCATCGTACTTATTTTCTTCTCATGTCAGTCCAAGTCTCCTGAGCTTGGAACATTCTGTGGTTCTACAATTCCATCTCTTATTCGCTCGTCCGGGAACTCGTTATATTTAACTCTGACGTCAGATGATGGCGATACCGGAAAAGGATTCCAAGCAATTTGGCGAGCGGTATCCAATGACATCCGTAAGTACAGACACGAATGTAAGTACTTCAAATCTCAAGGGAAGGTAGCTTTCCGTTGATCTGGTGGAATCGTTTCTTCGTTTAATTTAGGTCGTCCTAGTGTACGGCCATTTTATTCGAAAATCTTTATAGAAAATTTGGCATACAAGAAAATATATGCCACTCGTTAACGTAACAGAGGGATACCATAAGAAAGAATCCGCACAAACTTTACGCGATAAAGAAAATGATTTCTTATGGCACAAGTTTCACGGTCAAAATCAAAATCTTCCTTTTTTTCTTGCATTTTTTTTTCTTACAGTTAGAATTCGGAGGATTTAATAACTACTTATTAACCGAGAGCGAGGTCTTTACGGGAAAATCTCAAACCGAGACTTATTGACCAAGTAATAGCGAGGTTTGAGATTATTATAACAACAACAACAACAATAATAATAATAATAATAATAATAATAATAATA